TCCACCACCCGAGGATCCGCTTTATTAATGTTATTGAAGTTGGATTCATTAAATTTATTTTTGTCAAACGGATCTAAGTTTCAGAGAGTGACAGTCAGGAATTCCCGTTCAGGATGATACGTCACACTTGTCCTGGTCAAAAAATTAAATTCCAGATATTTCATAAAGAAAGTACAAGTCGTGTAGATCAGGGTTCTAGCCATTATACTAACACATAAAAACCACAGTGTTCTTTTCACAGGCCCATGCTGCTAACTAAATGTATTCTTACAGCTATGTAAGTTTACAATAATACAATATAACATAAGTATGTGTTATAGTTTAATAATACGAACCGTTGGGATATTTTAAAATGGCATTATACCAGGCTATATCGGTTCCGTTCCGTCTTCAATAGCTCAGTCGGATCAGAACAATAGGTCATGAAACCCCATTTCATTAATATAGGTTACATCATTGTACCATAATAATTCATTAATAAATGGCAGCTATATTTTCTAATAGTAATGGCGAATTGTTTACATTTTGACATTTACCATCGATCCTCTTAGGAAGTTGTGTTGGTTTTGTGGCGTCTATTCATATCTAGTTAAATGTAATTAGTTGACCAGCTAGGGAAATATCAACCTATAATGGAGGGAATTTAGTTTGTCAACTTTTTATCAGAATCGGCTTGATTGATTTCAACCATACTTAGTGCGTTTGTTGATTATCTATTGACTTCCGGTATAGAAAGTAGTGGTACCAGTCAATAACCCCCTCCCCCCGATAATTATTACGTAATATTTTTTAATGGACGGCATTCAGAGCAGAGATCTATTCTCCAAGTATGATGTAGGTGGATCTCTGTGTGCAGAATGCGAAGAGTCTTCCCACAAGATCAAGACTTGGATGAACTCAAACATGCTCAAGCTAAATGAAAACATGACTGAAGCCATAACATTTGGAACAACAACAAAAGTATCTAATTACAATACCAGCCCCATTAAAATTGTCTCCAGCATCTGCATTTCATCCTCAGTGAAAAATCTGGGAGTGATTCTTGATCCAGCTTTGTCTATGAATAAACAGGTTGACGATGTTCGTTCAAAATGTGTGTTCCATCTCCGAAATATTGGTTCCATCCGAAATCTAATTACCCCTTCTGCCATGGCAACACTAGTCCGTTCTCTTGTATTTTCCCGTTGGACTACTGCAATAGTCGATATATAAACTGCAGCGCAGCGCGGATCGTAACACGAACTTCTTTGAGAGACCGTATTACCCTGTACTTAGGTAACTTCACTGGCTTCCAGTGCAAGCGAGAATCGACTTTAAATTGATGTCTCTCACATATCAATGCGTATACTGTGAAATGTTATCTTATCTGAGAGAACTTATGGTACCTTACATGCCATCAAAAAAACTCAGATCTAGTACTAAGAACAACCTTGTTGTCCCAAAATATAAACTAAGCTCCTTTGGAGCTCGATCATTTAGTGTTGTTGCTGCCAATTTGTGGGAATCGCTACCTGAAAATCTTCGATCCAGTCCATCATTAGACTCCTTTAAATCCAGATTGAAAACATATTTATTTGAGAAATATTTGCATGAGTGATTGTGTGTTTTTGAAGCGCTATGGGCACGACTATATGGGGAATTAGCGCGATATAAATGGATTTATTATTATTATTATTTATGGACGTCAGAAGCTTTTAGGGTCATCAACCAAATCTCCGACAGCCGAGCTATATAAAACGCGTACTAACCCGTGGAAACGCTTAACCAAAAAATTAATGTTGTACACGAAAGTTGAGTTAAATTATCTCTGATGGGGGTAAAGGGGACGTTCTTAAGGGGCGAACAATGGATCGGGCATCTATAAGCAGAGTTTTTAAATGTAATCTGAGGTAAGTTTACATTGCCAGGAAGGATGGTATATGTAGGCTGAAGTTGACTTAAATCGTCAGTTTTGGCCATTTCATCCTAGTCCCGTTCCCTCTTTCTTATCCGAGATAGAAGGGGATTTCGGGTTCTAAAGTTAGTGTTATGTTCTAGTGAACCAATAGCGAAACTTTTAATAAAACAATTAATGCTGAACGCGGAATTCGAATTAACTCATCTCTAAGGGTGGGGGGGGGATAAAGGGGGTGTTCTTAAGGGAGGAAGGAAGGATTGTGGGTCTTCTTAAGCAGTGTTTTTGATGACATCTGAGGTTGGTCGACGTATGCACGAAAGTTGATCGCTGTACGCAAAAGTCGAATTAAATCGTCATTTTGGTCATTTCACCCATGGGTCCCCAGTTGGCGTTCTTATCCGGGATAGAAGGGGATTTCGCGTTCTTAAGTTAGTGTTATGTTCTAGCGGACCAATAGTGAAACTTTTAACGAAAAAATTAATGTTGTACGCGGAAGTCGAATTAACTCCTCTCTCAGCGGGGTAAAGGGGGTGTTCTTAAGCAGTGTTTTTGGGGACATCTGATTTTGGTCGACGTATGCACGAAAGTTGATCTTTGTACGCAAAATTCGAATAAAATAGTCATTTTGTTCATTTCACCCATGCCCTCCCCCCTTTTTTGTCGCTCTTATCCGGAATGGAAGGGGATGTCGCGTTCTTAAGTTAGTGATATGTTCTAGCGGACCAATAGTGAAACTTTTAATGAAAAAATTAATGTTGTACGCGGAAGTCGAATTAACCCCTCTCTCGGGGGGGGGGGGGTAAAGGGGGTGTTCTTAAGGGAGGAAGGAAGGGTCGGGGTCTTCTTAAGCAGTGTTTTTTGGCGACATCTGAAGTTGGTCGACTTATGCACAAAAGTTGATTGTTGTACGAAAAAATCGAATTAAACTCAAAAATTTGACGTTTTGTCGGGTTCAGAGTATCGGACACCACTGTCCACTTATCTAGCATAGTAGAAATTTTGTACGCGATTTTCGAAACAACCTGAACCTAGCTCCCTAACAATATGGGGAGGGGGTCATAGTTCATCCTTCAAACTGTTGACGTTTACACCGTACACATCACGTGCATAGGGAGGGGTCATAGTTCATCCTTCAAACTGTTGAGGTTTACACCCTACACACCACGTGCATGGGGAGGGGTCATAGTTCATAGTTCAAACTGTTGAGGTTTACACCTTACACACCACGTGCATTGGGAGGTGGTCATAGTTCATCCTTCAAACTGTTGAGGTTTACACCCTACACATCACGTGCATGGGGAGGGGTCATAGTTCATAGTTCAAACTGTTGAGGTTTACACCTTACACACCACGTGCATGGGGAGGAGGTCATAGTTCATCCTTCAAACTGTTGAGGTTTACACCCTACACATCACGTGCATGGGGAGGGGCCATAGTTCATCCTTCAAACTGTTGAGGTTTACACCCTACACATCACGTGCATGGGGAGGTGGTCATAGTTCATCCTTCAAACTGTTGAGGTTTACACCCTACACATCACGTGCATGTGGAGGGGTCATAGTTCATCCTTCAAACTGTTGAGGTTTACACCCTACACATCACGTGTATGGGGAGGAGGTCATAGTTCATAGTTCAAACCGTTGAGGTTTACACCCTACACATCACGTGCATGGGGAGGTGGTCATAGTTCAAACTGTTGAGGTTTACACCCTACACATCACGTGCATGGGGAGGAGGTCATAGTTCATAGTTCAAACCGTTGAGGTTTACACCCTACACATCACGTGCATGGGGATGAGATCATAGTTCATAGTCCATACCGTTGAGGTTTACACCCTACACATCACCTGCATGGGGAGGAGGTCATAGTTCATAGTTCAAACCGTTGAGGTTTACACCCTACACTTCACATGCATGGGGAGGAGGTCATAGTTTAAAGCAGTGATTCTCAACCAGTGTGCCGCGGTACACAGGTGTGCCGTGAGATTTTCCTAAGTGTGCTGCAAAATTTTGTACGGCGCACTAAGAAAACGTGAAAAACCACGTGATCCCAATTGAGCATTCACTGGTGTCTACTGGTAAGTTCATCGCTGTGTTTTTCTTTATTTAGTTCTAAGTCATTCTATGTGTCTTTGACTAGTCTGCGTCGGTTGTAAAATTCAACTATTTTTCATATATATTAAGCCAGGCGCGCTAGCCAACCTGATAACCCTGTTATCCCTCCGCCTCAACATCATGAATATTTACAAAAACCTGGCAGAAAAGTTTAATTCAAACCCTCTTCGTCCATTCTAGACCAAAAAATCAACAAAAATGGGCATGCAAAAGGCGAGAAAAGAGAGAGAGAGAATTGCTAAAAATAGACAAACTACGTGGGTACCGAGATGGTGAAATTTAATGGTGGTCTGAATCCAATTCTATTGATCAAGGGGCATAACTCTTGAGGCAATAATTCTATTGTAGGCGAACAACATATTATCAATTGTTAAGTGGTTTTTTAAAGATAGGTTGCCAGGCAACGAAACATACGCCCACAGCAATTAAATCGTTCGGGCAGTCAACAAGAGTTGTCGCATATTTTTAACATTCCACGAAAGTTCATCTGGATTTGTCAGTGTGGTTTCCCCTTTGTTAATGATGGAGGACGAAGTATCCAATTCGTTAGGGTGGTACAAAATACCATGGCTAGAACCCCACCTGTCTGGTAGTGATACAAAATACCTAGGCTAGAGCCCCACCTGTCTGGTAGTGATACAAAATACCAAGGCTAGAACCCCACCTGTCTGGAAGTGATACAAAATACCATGGCTAGAACCCCACCTGTCTGGTAGTGATACAAAATACCTAGGCTAGAACCCCACCTGCCTGGTGGTGATACAAAATACCATGGCTAGAATCCCACCTGTCTGGTAGTGATACAAAATACCTAGGCTAGAACCCCACCTGTCTGGTAGTGATACAAAATACCAAGGCTAGAACCCCACCTGTCTGGTAGTGATACAAAATACCATGGCTAGAATCCCTACTGTCTGGACAAAATTAATTACACATTTCTGCCCCACTGTTGATATAAAAAACAAAGTTTCGTTTTTTACATATTTTTTATTTCTCGTACAATATATTTTCTTTTCTTATTTTACATCAAATGATTTTATATTTTTATATTTACACAATTTTATCACGTTTATCTGAACAACTGAAGGTTTTACAACAAAAACACGTATTTATTATACATCAGTCAAGCCTAGGTGAGGAACTCATATAAATTCTAGTTACAGTGGAACCCTTGTTACAGTGGAACTAGATACATGTATACAGTAACTACAAACCAGGGCCCTGTTTCTTGAAATTTTAACTAAAGATAAAATCCAAATTTTAGTAGATACTTCAATTTTGATTGGCTAAACACTAAAATCAATCTAATATTATCCTATAAAATTACTAAAATTTGGATTTTATCTTAGTTAAAATTTCGTGAAACAGGCCCCGGGTTTTTTGACACGCCTGTACTGGTAGGCATGAGCATGATCTGTAGCTACCCGATTTAATCATTTTGATATTTTTATATTTGGCCCCAGTTAACTATGTTAGATCCATGTCCATTTGATAGACATAACCTTCTGTAGGAATCCAAGTTATGATTTTTGTATTGTTTATTGTCAAGTTGAGTGCAACTTCCTGTTTAAAACACGTGTTGACATTTTGATAAAGTTAGTCTTTAATTGCCTATATTATGGCAAGAGAGCGGTTTACGTGTGTGCTACATATGGTTAGACGGCGTGTGTAATTAATCAGAGGGCAGCGTGTTTTCAACTATACCATGCCGTTTTGTAACCTTTTTTAATTTGCGAACTTTGACCTTTGCCCTTGTTATGGGAATTTGTTTGCATTATAATATTAACAAACTTTCTGATATTTTCAACTGATTATTCTTATATATCTAGTGTGACGGGATTCACCTAATCATTATCATTATCAGTATCAATACCATCATAAGAAAAACTACGACCATAAGGGAATTTCTCAGGTTTTATGAAATATTGTCTTCTTAGTGTGACGAGATTCACATAATCATTATCAGTATCATTATCATAAAAACTACGGCCATTAGGGAATGTGTCAGATTTTATGCAATCTTGGTCCAATCAACATATTCATCCTCTTCATTATCATAAATAATACAGCCATTAGGGAATCTAGCAGTTTTTATGAAATCTTGTCTTAGTTCATGATCCGTATTGAGAGTAGAATACTGGTAGTTATATTGACTAATCATCATCTCTATCTTTACCTATTAGGCGGGTCAAACTAACATTTGACGTAGAACAAATTGCAACAAAAGGTTTTTTGATTTCTATTGACTCATTATGATGTCCTAAGTAAGGAAAAGAAAGTTTACCAAAATCGGAGTCCAAATAAGGCCAGGGGGCGTGGCCAAATCCAAGATGGCGGTTGTCGATCAAAAATTGCAAATATCTCTAAAGCTATTGGATTTAGACACCATAAATGTATTGCGGACACATAGGAAGTCGGTATCAGCTAGTCCAAAAATTGCGACGTTATGTCTCTATGACGTCAGGACGTTGCTGTGACGTCACAACGGCATACCAGACGTCGCATTTCTTCCAAAATTAGTTCATTTATGCATCTTAACAGCAGAAACGAATGCTGATGCAGAGAAGAGTGTTTCCCCATTATGTTGGGTTGATAAAGAAGAACACTATGTTACAAGTACAGAGAAGGGGGCTAAAAGAACTACTGCTGGATTGCCGATATGTGATACTATTAGAGTAGCTGCAGGAACACGGATTCATTTCAATTGTTGCAGAAATGAAATAAAATGAGTTAATACATCCTATTGCTCTGCTCCGATTTGGCCTCCTTAGTGTGCTATGAGGGAAAATTTGCCAGCCTTCACGTATATCGAATTTCATCCGCCAAGAGGTCTTTTACTGAAGAATAAGTGCATCAAAGGGTGAATGGGTGGGGCTGATCAATTTTGACATTTGGCCCAAAAATCATCAGAAAGATTTATATTTTGACACCGGTTTCGTAGATGTACCCGATATGTGTTACAAAACCAACTTTCGCGGTAATGTGAACAGCACCCCCAGGCGTTGTCCTCAAAAGCATTACTTTATATGTGGACAGATAGGAACTCGATACCAGAGAGTCCATAAAGGTGCAAATCGGCCTGCCCTGTCCATGCAAAATTCAATGCACTTCCACAGTACAAGCACCAAGTGGGTGTCAAACATTGAATCGCTGAGCTCCTTAATGTTGCTCCTTCATGGCCTGCTACAGCGAGATCCAGGCCCTGGGACAAGCAACTCGGCGAAAGGCTTTGAAAGACACATAGTCAGCTTCACTTGGCGTATATCCGGGGTAACTGGAGGTCACTTTGCTAAAGCAAACGAGAACGGGTCGGGGCTCCAGGGCACTAAGGCTGGGGCAGGTGATTTATAGTTTTAAATTTACCAATTTTTCCAAAAAAGTAGAACTGACAGAATCCGATTCTAATCTTCCCCATGGAACTAGATACCTACATTCAGAAAAGTTACCGGTTTTCTTCTGCTTTACGATCAAGTAACATTGTGGGTTTTTTTATTACTTTATACCAACAAATGTATTTTTTTTAAACATTACCATTACGCGGCATACCTCCGGTACCCTGGACAAATGTCGCAGTCCCCCCCCCCCTCTTACGGCCCCTGCTTTATTTCCATTGCAAAGCTTAACTTGGTCTTTGACTACCGGACTAGTACCATTATGTCACCGTCAGACCGGGTGGCGTCCTTACTGCGCTGCTGCGACCGTACAACGACCAGAAAATGTACAAGGTCGCCACGAAACGTAAACATAACGTGAGAAATGTCCCCAAAAATTACAGACTTGAAAAAAGTCGTGTGCTTATACCCCTTTACTGCGCTGCTACGGCGACGGAAAATGAACCCAGAGTACGTCAAGATCGCCATAAGCGTGATAAAAGCGTGGAAAAACGCCAGATATTGCGCTGTGGTCTCGATGGTCGCAAATGATCGCCGAGTCACGGCGTTTGTTTTGAGTATGTTCAAAACAAACGCCAAGGTTCTGTGATCTGCCCTGGAAAGATGTGAAAACGCGATTTTTTTTTTCGAGTTTGTAATATTTTGGGACATTTTCGCACGTTGTGTTCACGTTTGCCGGCGACCTTGGGCATTTTCTGGTCGCTGTACGGTCGCCGCAGCGCAGTAAGGACGCCATCCCGGTCGGACGGGGGCATAACAACTTTCCAGATTAGATCTTAGAGCCTTGGTGTTTGTTTTTAATATGCTTAAAACAAACGCCGTGACTCGGCGATCATTCATGACCATGGAGACCACAACAAGATATTCGGCGTTTCCACCACGCTTTTACCGCGCTTATGTCGATCTTGACGCGCTCTGCGACCAATTTCCATCGCCGTAGCGTCGCAGTAAGGACGCCACCCCTGCAGTCTGACGGGGTTATTAGCCTGGCTCATCAGGAAAAATACATCCCAACAGACTTTCAGCTAGAGCCCGTGGCAAAACGTAAAATGTCGGGTAGACCAGTTTTCATCTTTTTGAACTCTGTGGTATTGACTTCCTGTCTGTCCACATATACGGGGCCCCAAAACGTAATTCTTTAAGTGATGCTTTAAGGAACACTGCCAGAGGGCGCTGGTCGCATTGCAGCCCCAATTTTTTTTTTGTAACACATCTCGAATACGCTTGTGTCAAAATATAAATCCTTATGGTGATTTGGGGGATTAACCAAATGTCAAAACTGGTCAGCCCCGCCCATTCAACCTTTAATGCACTTCTCCAGTAAAAGGCAGCTTTGCAGTTGGAATTCGATATAAGAATGTCTTTGCGCCACTGCACGGCAAAACTCCCCTCATAGCACACAGTAGGACGTATATGTATCACCCCATTTCATTTCATTTCTTTTTATTGATGTAGGCTATTTTTGTCGACAATTGAAATGAATCCGTGTTCCTACGGCTACTGTAATAGTATCACCTTTCGACAATGCAGAAATATTCATATACTTTTAGCTTCCTTCTACGTTATTGTAACACATTGTTCTTGTTTATCAACCCATAATGGGCATACCCATATTCATCCTCTTCATTATCATAAATAATACAGCCATTAGGGAATCTCGCAGTTTGTATGCAATCTTGTCTTAGTTCATGATCCGTTTTGAGAGTAAAATACTGGTAGTTATATTGACTATAATCATCATCTCTATCTTTATCTATATCATAACCATCATAATCATCATCATCATCATCATTACAACCATCATCAATATTATCTATGTTGTAATCTTTAGGATGAAGAACATCTTTCAATAGAAGAAAGTCGTTTAATTCGCGAGGCAATTCCAGATCCTTAACCTTCTCCTTTATTCCCAATCCAAGATTCTGTCTGATGAATCTTCTGCACAGGGACTTGAGAGATATATTACTACAGAAACTAACGAATTCTGCTCTGTCTCGTGAGTGGATAATGTCTGTTCGTTCATATCTTTTGTCTTCCTCGTCAAAATTTAACGAAGTCATAATTTCCTCCCCTTCGGCGCCACTAAGATACAACAGTTTTCTCAGCCTATCTCTTTCTTGAAGGTTTAACTCAGTAAGATCAATTTGGTTATAGCTACTTTCAAGTGATGATGGTACGAGAATCTGAAGACAGCAGTTTTCAGCAACTAAATATCTCATAAAACAAACAACATGGTATGGTTCCCAGAAAAAGGGAAAACACATGGTTGTTTGAATAATTGTGTTACCATCGATACAGGGTAAATTGAGAAGACCAGTGCTACCATTAGATAGAAGTAATTTAAAACAAGTCAAATCAAACACACTCTGATAAATATTAAGATATTGTAGAGCAGATCTTCCTGAATAGTCTAACATGGTAACTATGGCACCAGCTTGAAGTAGTTTCCTTGTAAGAACTCTGTCGTTTTTCATTGCAGCCATCATTAAACTAGTTCTACCTCCATTATCGGGAATATTTACATCAATTCCATCAACACCAAGCAAAATATCAATACAAGCCATGTATATTGGATATATCTGTCTACAATAATTCTTAACAACATCATTTACCTGTCTCTTGTTCAAGCCATCTTTAAACATAGTAAATCCAATGATACAAAGGTGTAGAGCTGTATGACCCTGGTTATTTTGTGTATTGATCTCTAGTCTGGGATGATGTGTCAACAATTCTAAATATTTACTGTTTAATAAAAAGGATGTTATCATAGTAGGTGTGTTGGTATTAAAACAGGGATGGTTGATGTCTAGTTCGTTATTTAACAGCCATTTAAACTTGCTTACAGAATAATCATAGTTTAAACGAGCTAAAAGATGAAGCATATTTTCTCCTTCAATTGTAAAACCATTAACAATCAACTTACGCCCGATGTAACTGAACACCCACAACCTCTTACATTTTAAAATATCATGGAATAACTTAACTCCGTTGTCACGTGACATCAGATCTGAACCTGAATCTACTAAAAGTTTAAAGACGGCTGTAGAATTGAACATGTGATATTTGACACAATACCTAATTGCTGTTTTACCCTTATTATCAGTTAAACTTAGATCAGAATGTGGAATTAACAGTTTTAATATACTGATATCAGCTTGGTATTTTATATAGCTCATTAAAGCCGTTCGTCCCAGTTTATTTTGATGGTTCACATTACAACCAGCTTTTAATAAAATGTTAACCAATTTAAAATACAGTGGACCACGACTGTCCTGTCCTGTCTTTAGTTTCGATTGTAATTCGATCCGTTCAAGCCGTTTATCCGCGTAGATTCGAACGACATAGAACAACGGGGTTTTACCATCATTGTCAGGTTGATTTATGTCTACTCCTGTTTTTATTAAAGTATTAACGACCTGTATACACTTCTCTTCAAATTTAACATGGGAATCCGAAAAAACTAAAACATGGTGAAGAATGTTGCGTTTTAAACAATCAACATAATGTACATCTACTCCGTGTTTTAAAAGATATATCATAACCTCATACAACCCTTTACTAGCAGCTATCAATATAGGTGTATCTCTATCATCATTCCCCTGGTTGACATCTACACCAGCATCAACTGATTTAACCACACATTGTAATAACAAATCACGCCTAGCTGGTTTGTAATATCTATAGTTAGATACAAGTATGTTTAACAGGTTATTCTTATAGCGATCAACATAATGTACATCTACTCCGTGTTTTAACATATATATCACAACTTCATACAACCCTCGTCTAGCAGCTATAAATATAGGTGTCAGTTTATCACCATACTCCTGGTTGACATCTACACCAAGATCAACTAATCTAACTACACATTGTAATAACAAATCACGTCTATCTGGTTCGTCATCACTATCAAAGTTAGATAAAAGTATGTTTAACAGGTTGTTATGACGATCATCAACATAATGTACATCTACTCCGTGTTTTAACAGATACATTACAACTTCATACAACCCTCGTCTAGCAGCTATAAATATAGGTATCAGTTTATCATCATTCTCCTGGTTGACATCTACACCAGCATCAACTAATCTAACTACACATTGTAATAACAAATCACGTCTATCTGGTTTGTCATATCTGTTATAGCTAGCTAAAAGTTGATGTATCAGGTTGTTCTTATATCTATCAACATGATATATATCTACTCCGTGTTCTAACAGATACATTACAACTTCATACAACCCTCGTCCAGCAGCTATAAATATAGGTGTCTGTTTACAATCATTCTCCTGGTTGACATCTACACCAGCATCAACTAATCTAACTACACATTGTAATAACAAATCACGTCTATCTGGTTCGTCATCACTATCAAAGTTAGATAAAAGTATGTTTAACAGGTTGTTATGACGATCATCAACATAATGTACATCTACTCCGTGTTTTAACATATATATCACAACTTCATACAACCCTCGTCTAGCAGCTATAAATATAGGTGTCAGTTTATCACCATACTCCTGGTTGACATCTACACCAAGATCAACTAATCTAACTACACATTGTAATAACAAATCACGTCTATCTGGTTCGTCATCACTATCAAAGTTAGATAAAAGTATGTTTAACAGGTTGTTATGGCGATCATCAACATAATGTACATCTACTCCGTGTTTTAACAGATACATTACAACTTCATACAACCCTCGTCTAGCAGCTATCAATATATGTGTCTCTTTATGTCTATTCTCCTGGTTGACATCTACACCAAGATCAACTAATCTAACTACACATTGTAATAACAAATCACGTCTATCTGGTTTGTTATATCTGTTATAGTTATATAAAAGTTTATGTATCAGGTTTTCCTTATATCTATCAACATGATGTACATCTACTCCGTGTTTTAACAGATACATTACAACTTCATACAACCCTGTACTAGCAGCTATAAATATAGGTGTCTCTTTATGTCTATTCTCCTGGTTGACATCTACACCAGCATCAACTAATGTATCTAGACATTGTAATAACAAATCACGTCTATCTGGTTTGTCATATCTGTTATAGTTATATAAAAGTTGATGTATCAGGTTGTTCTGATGGGGATTAATATAATGTGAATCAATACCGTGTTCTAACATATAAATTACAACTTCATACAACCCTTGTCTAGCACATGTAATTAAAACGTGCTGCTTATCTTGTAATGATAATGTTTCTACGAATCCCTGTATATTTCCGTCTGTGTGAGCTTGAAGTAGTTTAATCCCCAACCTAAAATATATTAAACATATTGTTTTAGTTTTAAAGATGGTATAAATACAATAACAATGTAAAAATTCAACGTATTCTGTCTTATTAATCACGAATTATTCAATACCTCTTTATTATAAAACAATTCTTATATTTGAAATATGTAATTGTCTAAATATACATGAATTATTTATACCGTTTAGTTAGAGTGTTATTATAATCTGTCCACTGGAGATGATTTAAACAGGATACCGTACACCAGTTAACCCTGATGTTCACCGTATGTACAATAGGCTAGTGTATACAGTGGCGGCGCCAGCCGTCGGTGATTGGAGGGGCAAAGCTGGGGCAAAGTCCAAGGTTAAGGGGGCAAAGGCACGAGCTTCAACTAGGGGTAGGGGGCCTCCCCCAGAAAATTTTGAAAAACAGGTTGCCGGAAATGCACCCTGGCAGTATTTCAGGCACTGATCGATGAGGTAAAGTGTCAAACGAACTGACTTGCGAATCACCAAAGCCCACTCACGAGCGTCAAAGTAGGGAGTCCTCCCCCAGAAAATTTTGAAAAATAGACTGCCGGAAATGCTGTCTTACAGTATTCTGTCAGGTACCGATCGTCGAGATAAATAGATCTGCCCAGATACTGTTCGTCGCCTGAGCACTAGTTTATCCGACTAGAGAACAAAATTTTAAACGAACGGACTTGCGAACCTCAACGAATTCCCCTTGTGAGCGCCGAAGTAGCGAGTCCATTGGGGACCTCGACTAGAAAATTTTGAAAAATAGACTGTCGGAAATGCTCTACAACATGCAAGTTTATGACTGAGTGGGGATGTGGGATTTATTCACCGTAGAAGGTATTGATTACCGAAACGTATCACAATTATTTTTCTTTATTTTCTAAAATTATTGGGGGGGGGGGGGCAAACAGAGGGCGCCGCCACTGAGTGTATATAATATATTAAATATACGAACCTATATTCATCCATCTTAATTCTCTGTTTGACTATATCCTGTAGCCGTTATTATGTCAACATCACTAAAAAAACATATAAATACAGACTATTAGTTATGTATATATACCTACTTCTGTACACCATACCATACTCGAGATATCTAATACTGGATTCTGTGTGATGGACAGATTCTACAGACATGAAACCATACCATACTCGAGATATCTACGACTGGATTCTGTGTGATGGACAGATTCTACAGACATGAAACCATACCATTCTCGGGATATCTACGAACTGGTGTCTGTGTAGTGGACAATCATTTTCTAGCCAGTAAAGAACTTCAATTTATGTTAAGAGGGATCGCCTAAAACGACTGAATAATTTTATATTGTCGTCGCCCCTATCCTTCCACACGTCTGAACGTCCGTCCATAATTTGTATGTGGGTACTATCCGATTTTGAGGAAACTTAAAACTCCCAAAAATTGCGGTTCCTGTCGATACTGTCATGTATCGGACCCCCACTTCATGGATTAGGGCCCCTGATTTTTAGCTTGTGGACACTCTAGAGTTCACTTGATGAAATATATATCTATAACCAAAGATCTCGGTTGATTCGATATTTGCACTAATCGGACTGTAACTTTTTGATTATGGCACCTGATTGTACGAGATAATGGACCCGCTAGAAGTCAGAATTTCAATCCGATTTTGTTGAAACTTAAGATGTAAGTTTATATCCCAAACATCTCGGTTCTTTTCGACATTCGCGCAAATTGGATTGTATTTTACTGGATTATATGTATAATACTATAGGGTCTATATACAGTAGCGTTTATTTAAGTTCTGTAAAATGCTTTTGTTAATGTATTTTAGCTAGTACCAGTGAGAACTAGGCAAGAATATGTCTGGTAGTTAAAAATCGGGCAATGGCATCATAGTCTGCTAAAATAAATATGGTAATCCCATGTGTTAGAAACGTGGTTAGCCGCCATCCTAGGTGCCCATATAAGTACACTGTGTTTAAATCCAGGGTTGCGTCTGTGCATCTGACCAATCAGATAAAGGACGTACCTGGTCAATTTTCCGGGGCTCAGTACTGACTCATGCGCGTATCATCTTTATATGATGATATAAGTTTAATTTCAGTCCAGACATTATTCGGAGCTCAAGGGGAACATACCCATAGCCTCCTCGGCTTAGAGGCTTGGTCGAAGACATCATAGCGAGAACATCATGTAGAACTAACATTAGGTGTGTGGCTCTTGTCATGTTTCAGCCGTTTTTGTCTGAGATAAAACAGATATTAAACTCAGACCGTCGATATTTTAATAACTCGAAAAGTACTATCATAGATATTTTAGTTTCCCTTATTTAACCTTTGTAGTTTGCTGTATTTGATATATAAACAGAGGAGCAACACAAACTGTGTTTTTAGAGTTATTGATCATTGGAAAAAGTTATCACAACGTGAAGTCAAAGAAAGTCCTAGACGATAGTGTCACCCTAGTGTCACGGGCCGTATCCACAATGTGGAAGGAATTCATAATTTATTTATTTAACGACACACAGTAGTGTCACAGTTTAGTCTTTTTGGTTCCGCGACACAGGATAGTGTTACATATGGTCCCTGATTGAACGAAAAATAAATCGTACATGTAACACTATTTTAGTCAAAATTTATTTACATCGGGAACAGGAACATAAATACACACGAACATAAATCAAACATCAACACGGTACATTACGCCCTTCTGTCTCGGCAGCGGCTGAACTCGGGTGAGCCCATTCGCTGGTCTCTGCTCCTCTCTTCTCCTCCCCGTTCGTCTTTCTTCTGCGTCTCTTTTACTGTAAGTAAACTGGTGGTTATATACCTTTCAAATGGGTCTACACACACGAAATCATTACTATATATGGTATTTACAAGTTATCAAATTTCGCTGACTGATATAAATATATACATGTGGAATTGATAGTCGTTAATTAGTGCGTACGTGTTTAGAACAAAGTGTATAGTTGAAAAGCCAATATCATGTACATGTATTATCAAAACCAGCTGGGATCAATAAGTTCACTGCATCTAAATAATTGTTTGTATTTTATAAAATAGAAAATTAAGCACTTTGTCACATACATCCTAATGATCGTTGAGTTTTAATTTCGTGAAAATCTGACTGAAACTTCTCGATAAAATTGCCGCTCCTTGTGCGCAAATGGCATTACATACTTTTACACTAAGATTGTGGATTCTCTAGAGGTCACAATTTTTATTCGATTTTGATGAAACTTAAAATACATGTTTATATCCCAAAGATCTCACTTCCTTTGGATATTCACACATTTTGGATCGTAACTTCTTGGATTATGGCCCCTGATTGTATGAAAAATCGATTAGCTTGTGGACCCTCGACTAGAGGTCACAATTTTTATCGATTTTAAAAACCGTTCAAATATATCACCTTTACATCATTGTTGAAATGATTTCCATGTTAATGTTTTTGTTATCACAGGCTAAAATTTACATGAATATATTAAATGATTCCCTCAAAATTCCTATAATTCTTTTGTAGAATTCCTTAGAACCTTTTTTTTAAGTTGTCCTGAAAACTTAGTAGATTTTGTAAGACTTACTGACATTAGCAGCATTAATCGTAAGTAGATTTAGAGAATCATTTGTAGATCTTATTTTCATTTAGTTTTTATCGTAAACAATGATAATTAATAAATGGGTTGTAGTTTGTTGCTCTAATTGCCCATCACATGTGGTACCTTGTGCGAGGTCCAGCTTACTTAAATTTATTCAAGGGAGACAACTACAGTTAAAGTCATTACGTAAAAAATCGAAACTAGTAGAAGGAACAGTTGAATATGCTGTGTTATAATTATATGGTACATGTTTGAATTGTTAGATAATATGAATAACTAATGTATGAATAGTTAGTTAATATGTTGTTATTTCTTTATGGTAGTGAATCACAGTTTATTTGAATCGCAGTTTACCAGTTACCAGATTTCATAGTTGTAGAATATGGTCATCAGTTACAAAAGGTTTGCCCCCCCCCCCCCCTCCAAATTGGTAGCAGGTGTCCGTACGAGTAAAAATCAATTGGTCAGATCGGGCAATACTGGAGCGTATAGCAACACACCTTAAAGTAGCCCCCAGGGGTGCTTAAAACTGAGCTTCTCCTTATTGGACCTGATCACAGACTTAATACCTGCATTGTGAAATCTCTCAATAGGCAATTCAGATATTCCGATATCAAATGTTGTGAAAAATCTTGGTGTGTCCTTAGATTCAACACTCATATAAACAATATCTGCAAAATTTACCATTTTCATCTTCGAAGAATAGGATCAATCCGTCATCTGATACCCGAAGGTGCAGCCGCTGCACTGGCTCGATCATTCGTGCTGTCCAGAATTGACTACTGCAATGCCGTACTTTCTGGAATAAATGATGAACAAATTTCCAAGTTGCAAGGATCCAAAATCGTGCTGCACGAATTGTGATTTAAGCTAGATCAAAATCACACATCACTCCCATCTTAAATAATCTTCATTGGCTCCAAGTGCACGAGAGGATTAACTTTAAAATTTTAACTCTGACATAAAAAAAAACATTAAATAAAACAGCACCAAGATATCTTCAGAATCTCTTGACACACTACCAACGAAACAGGTCACTGAGATCCCAGAATAAATTATTGTTAGATGTACCGGTTTATAAGATGAATAAATTTGGTTCAAGGACCTTTCAGTATAATGCATCAATTCTATGGAATTCACTGCCACCTTCCATTCGAACATGTGAAACATTGTCTGTCTTCAAATCAAGTGTGAAAACCTGGCTGTTTAGGCACTATAGTTGACCCATGTGAACACTTTCATGGTCCTAGAGCATTCCCAAGTGGGATGAATTGTTGCAAAATATAAATTTTGTTATTATTAATAATTATTATTAAAATTTAAACGGCGCGAGTAAGCGCGAGGGGCGTTAGCCCCGAAGTTTTTCTTTGTATTTACATAATGGACAGTCTGAGGCTATTATCAAACTTAAAACATAGCACCATAGAGATACAAATAACGGATAGTTTTCTAAAAGAGTAAGCCACAAAATAATGGATATATTCTTAAAACAACATGCACATGACAAATCACTCCAGTCATATAATGCAAGCATACACAGATAGTCCAAAATATTCATTTAGCAAGATATCTTTAAGTGGAGACGACATGTTTATAACACAGCCGAAAACAAATATTAATGATGAGAATATTTGTGATAAGAATTTGGATACTGATAACATTTGGTGATGTACTCGATAAAGGGTAATAGCCACAAAAATTGTGATGTTCTTGATATTGGGGATAACGGACGTCAAAGCTGTGATGGAAAGGCTGCTCACGAAAATGATTTAGGTATTGATAATATTCTTAGTACTGTGGTTAATGTGGAGGGTATTAGCCGTCCAAATATTGATTTAAAATTAAATATATACTCTGATATAAGTGACAGTGAAATAGGATCAAAGCGACAAACCAATTCACGAATTTCAAAGTCAACCGTTATTATGGTGTAAAGGTGATATATTTGAACGGTTTTTAAAATCGGATAGAAATGGTGACCTGTACAGTTTCCACAGGCTACACTGAAAAAACACTTGTGTTGGATCTCAACACAAGTACTTGTGTTAAAACTAATCTACACAAGTTATGTGTTGTTTTGCATTGTATTAACACAAACTTGTGTCGATTTATAAAATCTTGTGTTTTTTTCATATCATTAACACAAGTAATGTGTACCTTCCAAGATTTGTTTTCTTTTTTAAAAAAAAACTCCATACAAAGTCTGAATTCGGGAGTCGTCAAGTTTTAAGAAAAGTAATAAAGGGCTTAATTCACATCTCGAAAATCACATGCTGTTCTTCACTGGAAGGGTGTGAGTACCAATTAATCAGACAATTGCCAGACAGACTTGAATGTTAATTGATGTTAAGTTGTCTGTAAAGTTAAAATGTCTGTCTTTTTTTATTGACCCAATAAACTGATAGATCAAATGAATATATAGTGTACATGTGATTTTCAGCACCCTGGTGTTTTCGAAAATTGATTCAATGTACAATGAACAAAAAAAATGAGTAAAACTCTTAATAATGTAATTGGTTGATGTAATCGAAATTGGACAGTATTGGTTAACTGTAAAGTAACCAATCAAATTTAATTGACCATCCACGTGTATCTCATAATCGACTTATTGATATAATGGTTCTCCAAGTTATCTATACTTTTTGTCTGCGATATCACTTCGGTGGAAGCGGACGTAAAATACAACTAACTAAGAAGAAGTATCTATACTTTAGTCATTGCGACAAATTCTTTCTTTGATATTATATCAGCGACATTCAGTTAGATAGATGTAGTGAAGTTAGCATCAACAGGGTGCTTTAGCCGTGATATTTTAAAAAAAATTATAATGGTCACATAGAATACCAGACCGCAGGTTTGTAAATTTTTACAAAAAATAAAACCGTGTATTTAATTTAGCATGTATATATTGCTTCTATGTATATAATAATTCGTTTCGTTTAAAACATTCAGATTTAGATCTACTGCCACTAACTGCACCGGAAGTCTATTTAAAAAATGTTCCGCTAATTCAGCGATCTAATGAATCTGTCTTAATTTTTCTGAAATCGTGCTTAATTATTATTAGCTAATCGGCGCTACACCGTTGTTCAAATACTTATAATTCCTTGAAACCCCCGACTAGGACCAGCAGGTAATTGTTGTTGTTGTTGTTGAGTTAGTTGTATTTTACGTCCGCTTCCACCGAGGTGATATCGCAGACAAGCCAGCAGGTAAGAATCTGTCTTTATTTTATAGTAATACCCGGTTGCAATTATTGGCCGCCATCTTTGATTTTTATAGACGTTCGGGCAAAAGGAGAAATGTATATCCAGACATGGACTATAGCTAGATACTAACTTTTGTGTTAGTTGTTTAGTTGAAATGTAATCTTATTTCTGTAAAAGAAAAAAACAACAACAAACAAATCAGCCTTTTTTTTTATATCAATGTCATCAATGTGTAGGCCTAATATTAGACTTTCAATGATTCAGAAGTTTCTCTACAGTTTCGTTATTTTTTTTTCCAGTCATTGATGTTAGCATGTACTACACAAAGAAAAACAGGTAACAGAATTTCATTTCCTTTTAATATATTTTTTTAATAATGGCCAATAATTGTTATTGTATGTAACACGAAAAGTATTTATCTCTGTAGAGAGAGGGCGAGTAAATGGGGTTTAAAGTTCACTAAATTCACTTGACACAAACTATGCCATTCATTTCCTTGTATTAAATTGGTCGAATCAAGTAGGTCCATGCTATATATATGTCCTAAAATCAAGTAGGACAGGTAGTCTTCTTCCGCCCTTTTTCTGAACACTGTCTCATTCTATTGCCATCTGTGTATGTTGTGTTATATTAATTCTGCATAATTAACTCTAGTTAACCTAGTTAACTCTATAATAATAAATGAATTTAATATATAAATAAATAAATAAAATATAAATAAACCAATAATATATTTGTAGTTTAATATGTTTTATCTTATCATTACAGGCAAAGCATGAAGCCAAAGAAAATGTTTTTACCAAGGCATGTTCCTCAATAGCGGAGAGAGTTTTATCCAGTGTCGGTTCTGCAGAAGAACCCATTCATAGCAGACCACCCATTGCAGCACTTGTAAGGTCGCTATAAAGAACCCGACAGACTCTGCGACCAAAAGATCCCACTGACGTGTCGTCAAGCGTAAGTACTCATGCAATTAAATACCCATGTATATAAGAATTTATTAACATGTAATTAAATGTACAATTTTATTTATTTATTAACATGTACTTAAATGTACTTTTTTATTTATTTTTTGTTTTAGCTTGACGAAGATTTCATCGATCATAGTGCACCGGGATTTTATCAAAAAAGTATAACATAGTTTGAGTTAATAGAAATAAAACATGATCTGGATGCAACATTTTATTCTAGCATACTAGATATACTATAAAGTCGTACCTGGTCAGCCGCCAAAGCTGGTCTGATTTACATGAAAAACCAAAGCCAATTTATACTAAATTCACTTTGATAACACGGGTAATTAATAATATGGAACAAAAGGACTTATGTAAAGACTACATAATTAAATCATTTGTCATTGATAGATTATCTCACTATAAGCATATGGCAGGCTTCAGAACAATTGATGTGTGACAGCTAACGCTAGTAAACGTCATTAGTGATCAGCGGATTATCTAACTTGACCATTATACATATGGCAGCATCTGGTTCTTTATTAAATGAACAATAGTGTGGTCAATTAGAGAACAGTGGAGAGTTTATTACACATGCGGTCATAGGATAATTATAATCTTTTACCTATCACTGTCTCTCACACTATGTAACAAAAGAGTAAAAGTTGGGGAAAGGCGCCATCACATTTTTTGTACTGATAGACAGATGCAACTACTCGCACGTGCAAAAACTTGGTATATGGATGCAACTTTTCGGGTGGTGAACAAGCCATGGTCTCAGCTGTTTTCCATACACGCCTTCATTAAGACTGGAGAGACCACCCGACAGTTACCATTGGTGTTTTGTGTAATGTCGGGTAAAAGCCAAGACGACTATTATAAGGTAAATAGCACTTACTGATTGAATTACTATTAATAGTAAAAAAGGACTATTATTTGGGACCTTGAAATTGTCACAAATGGGTCGCACTAACAGCGACATTTGTTTCAGGCATATTTGTTTCATCGGTGACACGTCTGGTGTCATGTGAATGCAACGACAACAGCCTGGTTGATTGATTTGTTGATTGGAGTTCAGATGTCTACATTAAAATCGACCACTTTCAGGTTGCCGTATTCACGGCCAGGCAAGACCGACTTGAAATTTCTGGAAATTTTTCTGGGGGAGACAGGCCCCAACAAATCCCCCGACGGTGCGTTTCACGACTTTGGCGCAAGACGGTGACCTTGAAGAGACGTCGAAAACCATTTAATAGACATAGTAAAAGTCATATCTTACGAGATTATCGCTGGTCTTGTCAGAAAATGCTATTTTATATATGACCAGTTTGTGTTTAAAAAATAAAATTATTTATTCTCCCACCATTAAAGCACACTAATTACGAAATATCGCTCTCAGAAACTTCATGGTTTCTTTTGCAATTTGTTTGGGGTAAGACGTTAAATAAATAATATCAATCTGTCTACCACACAAATTTAACAGATACAAATGCATGTTATTCCACAGGTAGACAGACAGGGCCTCCTTTGAAGGGACTCAGTGAAGGGAACGCGGTTGGTTTAGAGTTTGTCTGACCCCTTTGAATATTTGCGTCTCATCTCCAATGAAAACAATCATGTTGCTCTCATGCTGTTCT